CGGCCTGCGGACTGAAAGGTCCCAGGTTTGATTCCGGTCAAGGGCATGTACCTTGGTTGCGGGCACATCCCCAGTGGGAGGTGTGCAACAGGCAGCTGATCGATGTTTCTAACTCTTTATCCCTCTCCCTTCCTCTCTGTAAAAAATCAATAAAAATATATTTAAAAAAATAAAATAAAATAAAAGTGGCCTGGTGCTGGAGAATGCCTGAGATGGCTGGCAAGTCTTTCCCAACATCCCTAGTGGTTGAAGGCACCTGTATTAAGTAAAAGTTGCACTGGGAAAAAAATGAGGCCCTGTTCATGTCTTCTTTCTAGGGCTTCTGTCAACTGGCATCTCTCTGTTGCTGGTGTGGGTTCGCACTGAAACAGAAGATTCTCACACATGTATCACTGATGAAGGCTTTCTGCTCGAAGTATGCTGCCTGTAACTCTGTCAGGTGCAAAATATCTTTTAAGACTGAGAAAAGGATGGGTCTTCTGGGTTGCAGGAGCTCTCTTAAAAGTCCAGACCTGTGACTCTCCTGGAACATACACACTCTGTTCAGAATTGGCTTCCTCATCGGTTTTATGCCAACAACGTGAAAATAAAAATAAATGGTGAGGAAGTGAATGCTGACTGCAGTGACAGGTGGAAGTCCCTTTAGAAAAGTGTGTGGCACTAAACACGTTGGTTCTGTGCAATTGACTGACAATGAAAGATCTGTAGGAAGGATTATAAGATACTGCGATGAAGGTCTGGGCTACTGATGAAAGTCTGGGATGAAGGTCTGGATTATAAGATACTGCGATGAAGGTCTGGGCTACAAAACAAGGAAGACCTCAAACAAAATATGACACACGCGGCAAGCAGCACGTGGAAGAAAAGCAGGATCGTCAGCTCATTCTTCTGCTAAGAGTGTTCAGCATGGATTGTCTGCTGGTGACGTGGAAAGCTGTGCTGAAATATAGTTATGTCTCATTGCAAGAAATTATATATATTTTTTATTTATATAAATATATAAATTTATTTACATAAATTTATATATTTATATATATACAAAGTGTCCGCTCAGGAGTTCGACCAGGAGAATGATCGCGTGCCATGACGTGCACTGACCACCAGGCGGCAGTGTGGAACATCGTCGGTGACCAATGGCAGCAGCAGGGCGCTGAGGGAGGGAGGGAAGGAGGGAAGGAGAAGGTGAGGAGGCAAGGGGAACCATGAGGTGGCAGGGCGCCTGTGGGAAGGGATGGAGGAGGTGGGGAGGCAGGGAATCTGATTGGCCCTCTTCGCCGGCCAGGCCTAGGGACCCTACCCATGCACAAATTTCAGGCACGGAGCCTCTAGTATTCAATAAATTAGTAGCTGGTTTTCAAGAACTATTTAAGCTTATATGTGCATCTCATAACACATGTACAGGTCGATGTTCGAGAATACTGAAGATGGTCCAATGTAGAGGAACAGGTGATGAAAAAGGCCACACAGTTGAAGGTAGTCAAATGCCAGGAAGTCACAGGTGAAATGACAAGTTAGCAGAGTGTCAAGCTGGCAAAGAAAAGGTAGAAATGTGCTATTGCCCATGGTACTTGCACCTAAACAATGATGGAAATGAGCAGGTGCTTGGTATCATCTAAACACCACCCTTACATCATATCTAGCCCACAGTTGCAACTCAACAGGGCCAGGACTCTTCTGAGACTATCCTGCATGTTCATCCTATAAAAAAAATCAGGGCTCATCCTGCACACTCTTCTCTACAAATACGTACAACAGAAATATTCCAAGTATTAAGAAAAGATGACAGAGATGGGCAGCCAGCACTGGCCTAGAGCAATTTGGCTTGCAATTGTATTTACCAAAGATAATATTACAAACAACTGAAGTGTGATCTTGTAAGAACAGTTCAAGGTTCATGTAAGTAAAGACCATAACCTGGCACAGGCAGTCACCAAGGACCTTTGGCTAGAGGAAGGAGGTAGAAATGGAAGCCATGGATTTGGACATAGTCACCCTGCTAGGGAGAGGAATAGCAGATGGGATGCATTGAGTTGTCTGTAAGATTCCTGACTCCCAGACACATCCTGCACCGTCTGAGGCAATGTTTGTGGAGTCCTTCGCTCAGGGCTTTCCAC